GCCACAACTACTGCCACACTCTCATCAAGAAAGGCAAACTGAGCAGCATTTCGGCAAGCAATTCGAGCCGATTCGAGGGGCGTTCGCCTGGGTTCTGAGATGTTCTGAGGGGTCTGATTTCCAGGGCGTAAACGGTGCGCGTCCAGGTGTGTATATATCACTGAGGATGGGATGAAACACACTTGACAGAATAGCGTTGTAGCCCTTGGGCGTAGGTTGTGGCTTAAAGCCCGGGAGAGAAATAAGAATACTGTATATAATAGCAGTATATAGCAATGATTCAATGATTGAATACAGGACAACCACGCAGAATTCAGGGAGAAAAAGCGTTTGATATGTCAAACGCGTCATCGTTCGATGGCACTGGCTGGCCCGATTCTGGCCCCGGTCCTTGGGCACCGTCAGGGAGGAGCCACTTTTGGGGTCCTCCACCAAGCCGCCCTCTTTGGGATCCATCGTGGCGGTAGCGCTCAAAGGCCTCAGAACCACCTGGAAGCTTTCGGAGGCCTTCATGGTCGTGGGCGCAAAGCCTTCACACTCGAAGGAGACCGTGGAGCATCCAGACACCTCCCTGAGCACAGTGTCTGGCACATCAGTGGAGTCATCGTCCATCTGGAAGTGGCCCTCCAAATCCGACGTGCAAGCATTCATCTTCCACTTGATATTCACATTGCTCACCGGATGTCCCTCCAAATCCACCACTTGCCCAGTAATAGAGCTGCCCAACACGTGTACCGCTTCCGGTGCCGCCACCACCGCGGGTGCCAAGGAGGTTTGGAGCTCCGTCCAGGACAGGCAGCGATCCCAAAGAACGAGCGCCGCCAAGTCTAGCTCGTTGCTGGCCCAGCCGCAGGCGCGCAACTTGCTGCCCAGCAACGAGACTGGGCAAAGGCCCAGGTCCAGCAAGCCTCTCTTTTGGGGATGGACACATTGACATGAGAACAAAAGAACATCGACACAGTCACGTAATTCTTACGACCTCTTATATCGGCCTTTGGTTCTCCTTTTTGGGCCAAACACCTTGGCGCACGTGCCCGTCGTGCCCCTGAATGACGGGAGTCGTCGTTGGAGACGCGACTCCCACTTTTTCCACCTGTTTTGGATTACAGTAAGCGGGTTACGGTAGTGGGAAAGATCACCGTTTCCCCAACACATGGATTAAGGGATGCGTTTAAGGTTCTTCACTGACATGGGTGGTAAACAAATGGTAGTAAACAATGGTATATAAACAAGCTCCACCGATCTCCTCGTTGAACCCCTCGCTGTGTCTCCGGTTTCTTCGTTTCGCTCGCACCTTCGGCATCCACGGCCAAGACCGAGGTTCCACCCTCCACCGATCTCAGGAAGACTTGAACCCATCCTTGCTGAAGGAACTCCGCCGGCAGCTCCTGAGCGAGCAGTTCTGCTGCGGAGCGTAGAACCCAACCACCACCACCGCGGTAGAGACACGGTAGAGACCCTTTTTTTGGGGGGGGGAGAAGTGGTAGGGGGTGTTTTTGGGAAGCGCTGGGATCTGCAAGAGAGCCTGGTAGCTTCAGCAATGTCTTGAAGTCTATTCATGTTCGATCATCAAGCAGGGTAGGACCTGCTTGAGGGGGACGACCAGGAAGCTTTGACCCAAAGACTTGCGAACCCGGGAGGTCTCTTGCGGCAAGTGTCTGATGAATGTTTCATCCAATGGGATCGGCAGGGTTCGATGCATTGAACATCATTGAACTTGCATGCTTTTTATATATGATTGAGGTTGAGATGCGCTACGATCACCTTAAGCTAATATACTCTATTAGACTCTATGAGTTTGTTTATATATTACTATTTACCCCAATGCCAGCTATACAGTAGCTCTTCCAATGTCGACCCCATCCGGACTCGTTCGCCTCGTAGTCGTCGCCCTTAAGGAGGCCCAGCTTGTTTTCATCCGAACGGAAGGCCAACCAATGCTTGTTGTCATCCCCTTGCAACACGCTGTCCCAGCCCAGCACGCGGTGTTCACCGGCACGGAAGCAAACGCCTCAGCGACCGTCTGGGAAACTGTTGGCTTCGCCGAGCGGAGAGAGGAGAGGATCCAACTCCACCGGTGAAGACCGACCTATCACCAAGTAAAGAAGTCCGTTCAAATTGGTTCATCTGAAAAGAATGTGTCTGCCACATTCCATATTTCGGCGCAGGCATCCAACGGCCGTGGCAAATAGACCATTCTATCAAGTTGCGTGACATCCAACTCGCCACAAGTCCAAAAACCGTGGAACAGAGTGGAACCCACAAGAACAAACACGTCCTGGAACCACCATTTAAGACATAACGCAAAACACCGCCGACAAAAACACAACACTAAAGAACGGACCCCCTAGTATAGATGAACCATGATAAATCATAGCAACCTATCATGACCTATCATAACCTATCAACACTCCTATCAACATCTATCAACCTTCCAAAACCACCGGACAAAACCAAGTCACCGACTCCGCTCCGCCTCCGCCTCCGCCGACTTCCCTGCCATCCGTATCGTATTGTTTAAGGTCGAAGGGCCCACAGTAAAAGGCTCCTTCAACTCCAAGAGTTTGCCCGGATCCTCCAAAATTCGAAGCCGGGCTTTGGCCTCACCACCCAGCCTCGCAAGACCGGCAAAACCGGGCTCGGCGAGACGACGAGCAGCGCAGCGCTCGCTTCAGTGGTTCGTCCTGTTCGGCCTGCTTAGTGTAGGAAATTCGGGACTTAGTGACAGGATGGGGGTGGACCTTGGACAGAAATCCCGGTGCCGAACGCAATCTCATCACATCATGTTTCATCAACTGTCCGTCGGATCACCCGAATATCACCAAATGACGTGGAACATGGATGAACATGGGCCCTTTTCAAGATGGGATCGAACCTCTTTGTATGCCCGCTTGCTGCATAATCTGGAAACATGGTAAAACTTGACTGTGAATTTACGCTTCCATACTTTAAATTCCAGCGTCGACTTCTTTCCATAGCAAGCCCAGGTCACAAAAAGGACAGAAAAACACGCTGGACACAGACCGGCTCGCAGGACGACGCTTCCATACCTGTCGTCCAAACCCTGTTCAAGTAAGGCCTATCGGGCCGAGCTCGCTGCTCCGTCCGGTCCCGTCACGTGAGAACGTCATCTCGCCATCACGTCGGTCGGTGCGTCACGTCGTCCGGGCCTCCAAAATCCCATGCCTTTCTCCGAGCTCGCCACCGGAGCACCCAGCGATAGGCCCGTGGGCAGTGTGGCGCCTGGTGCATCGTTGGGGGGCGTGGTCCGAAGACCTCCATGTTCTGCCGAAGCCAAGTTCGGGGCTCCCCATGGCACCTGAACGAGCTGCCTATATTTCTTACTTGAAGGGCCTAAATTGTTCCTATAGGACTAGGATATATAACTATATATAAATCAATCACCAAGTCCATGCGGCATCCCTTTTCAAAGCCCTGTCATCTGTCATCTGTCACCTACTCTCATTCCACACACGATGCCGATCGTCCTTGACGCGCCTGGATAAATGGCCACACGATACCCGGGTGGCCAAGGGAGGCTTTCGGCAGTCCCCGCACTCGCTCCAGAACCCATGGCGACTGCAACTTTGGCCGCGACCGGGGTGGAAGGTTCACAGAAAATCTGGTTTTTGTCAAACGGTTTGTTCAATCCTGAGGGGCCATAGGCACGGCTTTTCAGCACCACGAAGCAAGAGCAGTGAGTCAAGACCTTCAAGCTCTGTCACTGGGGAATTCTGTCATCCTCTGTCCCTTGATCCCACAAGCAGCAAGCCGTGCGTTTGGATGCCACTTTCGGGGCATCGTTGCATGCAAAAAAACACCACCACGGATCACGGTTCTGTGGCCGATCACGGTTCCAGAGTTCCGGCCGCGAGCCATCCCAACAAGAAGCTGGCTTTTTCTGAACTCTCTCGGAGACACAACATCTGGAGATCTCTGGCGGCATGGGTTTCGGCATGGGTTTCGGCCATTTGTTTTGACACGCTGGTCTTGGCGATGGCTATGCTGTCTTGGCAGGGGCAGAAAAGGAACACGTCCTTCGCGTCCTTCAAAGGGGAAGGAATAGCCGCAGCCCAATGACGTGGGCATTTTTCGACGGAGTCGCTGTGGGGGGAAACGGATTCGGATGTTTTCACGGCTTTTCGGAGGATCCAAGGCCGCATGGCAGTGCCCACTGCCACGCCATGAACTATGCCATAAACATAAATCAACTGAAGACAACCTTCATCAACGTTCTAAGATCTCGAGTTTGCAACAGGTACCCTTATAGGGTCAGGCAACTGGCAAAAACACCTACCGGGTGGGGTGGGGTTTAGCTCGGCCAAGTATACTTGTTCCTCTTCAGTGGGAGCACCTGAAAATCTAGATTCTAGAGATCCCCAATCATCCAGTTTGGATGAACTCTTGCCCAAATAAATCTAAATCTCTTTCATCTATCTTTTTCCATTGCACAAGCCGAAAGAGCGGCTTGCTGCCACGCGTTGCGCGTCTCTTGCAACAACCACGCGTCAGTCGTGGCGGTTCATGGCACCGGAACACGCGGCGCTCTTGGACCTTCCCGCCCGAACATGAACAAAAACCCTTCAAGTCCAACGACCCAGTAAAACCAGGTCGTTTGGTTGCTTGAATGGTGTTTTTGTAGGTACCAAGTCCAGTCAAATGAGGTCATTGACCTGTAGGGAAAGAATAGATCGACCTACCAGGAGGTGAACGGACCAGGGAGTATACGGGGTGGTCGGGTGCCTTCCATTGAATCTTCTGCTTCGCCTCGCTCTCCGACCCCAGGTAAGGGGATCTGCTGGGCACCGATCTTCCTCCAAGAACCCACCCCGACATGTCATGTGACTCCTTGTTCCGTTCGTAGCAATACCATGCAAGAGCCCCGTTCGTAGCGTCCGATCGCTCCGTTCGTAGCGATGCCGTCCCCGTTCGTAGCATCCGATCGCTCCTCTGGTCGTTTTCCCTGTCCCCCACTGCCCGGTCTGCCAGCGCCAAGACGCTGGAAGGTCAGCTCCAACGGCCGCACCGACTTCATCGCGCTGCGAAAGGCCTCCTCGGCGGCGATCGCGACGAAGGGCGTCGCCGCGTAGCGGGAGCGCGGCGCCAAAGCCGCGCGAGGGATCGAGAGATGGGCAGGCGGGCGATCGCGCATGCGTTCTTGGGGGTGGGTCTTTTGGATTGGTGACCGTGGAGTCATTCGAAACCATCGCGAGGCAGTGGTCAGGACAGCAGGACAGTTTCGAAACGAGCGCTGCCATCAAGGACGCTGTGAAGTGTTCACTTCTTCGCGGCTGTAGCTAAGCTAGCTAAACAAGTGGTCCATTTCACTGGTGCCTTGGGGTTCAATGACAAGGGGTGGCAAGGGTAAACAAAGTTGATGCCATTGAAAAGAGCTGTTTTTCCCACCTCCTTACCCTCACAAGTATGTGCAATGCACTTCAAAAAGCCGAAAAATGTTGGTGCTGCCGCCACCAGCCCCAGAAACCACTGAGCAAAGAACCTCCTTGGCGAACCTCTTGCTCCGTGGCTTGCGGGAGCCATCTGAGATGCCTTTGCCCTCTGGCAGTGTGTCTCAAAATGAAAGCTGAGGAACCTTGCTTTGAGGAACAAACAGAACATGCTCAGTCACTGAGGCATCGTCGTGTTTTTTTCCAGATTTTCCAACAATGGGCACTAAGCGCTGTGTGTTCACAAGCTGAGTTAAATGCTCCACTTCAATTTTCAATGTGAGGCTCATCATAAAAAAGAAATGCGAGATGAAAATGAAGGTGGTCAAAGACGAAGCGAGGAAGCGTTGGGTGTCTCTTCTCGGTGTGCTCGTGATTTTACACAGCCCGGCACAATCAATGCCAATCTCTCGTCTGGGTGCTTGGGCCTTTTATCTTCTGGGCCTTTTTTTCGCCTGATTTGACTTCGTTTGGAGCTGTGTTCCGGATGAATAGATATCTTTTGAAGCCGATCGAATAGGAGAGTCCCACACTGGGAGAGCAATTCTCACCCCCTACATGTCTCCCTATGACTCATACGTTGGGTCTATCCCATTCCCTGTAACCGTGGATCTTTTTCCACCTTCAGTTGCAGGCCTTCCTCTAATATCCTACGTATAGATAATTGTTTAGCGACTGACTGCTACAGGTTTACTATATGGTTTACTGGGACACCCCCCCCAATAGAAACGATCTTGCAGCGTCGAACCATTTTGTGGCCTTTGGGACTGCCTGGAGCGCTTCCAACGCCAAGTCTCATTGGACATGCTGCTGGCCTCCTGCCCCTGGACCTGGACAGGCACTCAGCGAAGCCGGAGAAGGAAGTTGAGTCTTGCGAAGTGATGGCAGCTGGGAACATGTGCAAAATCATGTGCAAAATCACAAAAACAACTAGTAAACAACTAAGTAAACAACACAACTGCTCATTGTAGTGCTAGCACATTATATGCTCTCTTCCTCTCCTCTTCCTCCTTAGAGGCCAAGACTATGACCTTCGGAATTTGTACCCATCTGGGCACATGACACACGACCACGATGACCAGATCCCACCGACCATCCCGGGCCTTGAGAAGTTGAAAGCCTTCTTTCACTCCATGCTGCGCAGCCCAGCCCTCAGGCTCCACCTTCTTCACCCAAATCTTCGTCTCCACCGGGGGGAAAGGCGCCTCGGGACTCGACTGGCGAGTCCATTCACCCCCCCCGGTGGCCGAAGGAAAAGCCGGAATGACCCGACTTCGGGAAAAACGACGTACACTCTGAGGAACACATCACATGGAAGTGGAAAACCACGTGTTTGTAGAGGAAAGTAGTCTTCCAAGTGACCATTGTCCACTTCCATGTGATGTGTTCGTCAGAGTGTATGCTTTCGGGTGGTTTTTTCCATGTTTTTTTTCAGGTTGCCCCAGCCACTTCGTAAAAAGATCTCCACTCCAGCAAGCTACTTTTTTCAACAAGCAGCCAGATGTGGGGGTGGCTGGGTTTCGTAGCAACAGCCCTGGAAGTCCGAGCGCGACGGGGGGCGGTCATAGAGACGGCCATCCAATCCTCTCCACGTCTCTACCTCTTCAGATCAACCCTATCTGTCTCTTTTGGACGCCGTAGTGAGCCTTCGGGTGTTCAGGGGTGTTAGGTAGTGAGCACCCAAAAATGAGAACGAAACAGCTGAACGAGAAGAAGAGGGAAGGTCGTTCTCGTTCTCTTTCAGGTCCCCCCGTTGGATGCCCAGACACGACCTATTTGGGACTGCCACAGGACTGCCGCCCCATTGACCCCGAGTCAACCACCCCAACTGATTGGCATATATATCCCTAGAGCTCCAAGCACTTCCTTAGAAGGTATTTGGACCCTCCTGTCACCCACCCCAGTCCCACCTTCTAAGGTCCGACTGGAGCCCAAGGGTATGGCAGTCCCAACAGAGGTTGAAGAAGCCTATAGGCTAATGGCCATAGGTACCCCAGTAGGTTCCTAGTTCAGGTCACTGGCTACCTCTCTTGGATTTGCAACATCAAACTCTTCCAACATGGCGCTGTGTTCAGCCCCAATGCCGCAGCTGCGGCAGAAAACACCACACATCGCCGGGCGCGGGACATCTCCACCGGAAACCCTTCGTCGCCCTTCGTTCCCACCCTGCTTCCCCTTGTGTCGGATGTCGGTCCTCCTTTAGACCTTACCTATCCAACGACCCGTCTGGCACTGCCAGTCCGGACTGCCTTCAAAACGGGCATTCGGGGTGGTGCCAGCGGGGTCTGGAGTGGCAGTCCGACATGGCAGTCCCAGACGGGTCGTGTCTGGGTTATGGTGACCATGTCCTTCTCGAGTACTGGTCCTCACCTGGAGCTGCCTTTTCTCCTCCCCAGGTCCCCACCCGTCAGCCGCTGCCCAGGCACTCACCCCAAAGCCCAGGCTGCCCTCCATGGCCACCAACGTGACGACTCCTGCCGGTGAAGCGGAGAGCGACCGTTTCGATGCACGGCTTCGGCTTGGTCTTCTTTTTCTCGTGCTTCTCCGAGTCGATGCAGACATGAAGAAAGGTCTGAAGAAAGAAAAGAGCAACACATACACTGAAAAAGAAAGAACACAGAGTCAAACATGAATGAAACACGAGTTGAATAAAAGAAAACAACTAGAGCCTAAGAGATGCCAAGAACATGCTAACTAGTAGCAAGAAAGGGCACGTTTAGGCTACTTACACCCCCTGAGAGGGAAAAAAACAAAAAACACATGGAAGTGGATGGCCCCTTGAATGACCATGTTCAGGTGGTGCTTCGGTGCTTGGCCTTCGGTGCTTCGTGCGCCGAACGCACGAAAACACGCCCGCGACGCCGGCGGAATGGAGTCCTTCTGGTTCCGGAGGACCTGAGTCAGGCGATGAGAAACTCAAATTGATGGCACCAAGAGCCAGTGGGTCCAAGAAGATAAGAATGAAAGAGACTCAGAGACCTCCCATTTTCCTGGACCGCGATCACACCTTTCCAGGTGTTGTTGCCGTTGTTGTTGTTGGTGGTGGTGGATCTTCATCTATGAAACTCTTGGAAGGAAAAAGGGCGGAAATACATATTAGTTGGAACGCCATCCACAAGCGAAATAACAAAATTCATGTTCATGCTCCACCAACGGGTTACTCCAATTCTTGTCAAATAGAAAGGTTAGCCACACCAATGCTCGACCCAAATTAGTGCCTGCGCTTGCCAAACATGCCAGCACCCCCCCCTTGACCCAAAAGATCTGCAAGAAGTTTCAACAATGAGTAGCAAGAGGCTACTGGCAACAAGGGCACTGCTAGTAACCGGTGCATCGCTGCTTACTCGCAAGAATGGAAGGTGGGTGACCCTTGGCTGCTTGGCCAAAGCCGGCTCAGGCGAGTGGGCGATTTCCATTCACTGCCGGCCGTCATGTGCGGGGAGGTGTTCCTTTTTTTTCGGCAAATTCACCTTGACATTAGTCATGCACCAGGATCATTCAATGGGTGTCCAATAGACTCCCCTACCCTACTTATGGGTCTCCAGACAGGGCACCCATTGGAAGTGGTGGTGACATTTAATCAACAGACCCGTTCAAATGAACCGGTGTGATGCAGAACGACAGCTGGTTCGGCCGTGAGCGGGCCGACTTCTCCTTTCTTCGGTACCGGGCCCCACGGTGGAGAGTCCAAGGGGGCAGGAGGTGCCAGGACTCAATTCCCCCTTGGGCTCCAGTCGGACCTTCTTAGAAGGTGGGACTGGGGTGGGTGCCAGGAGGGTCCAAATACCTTCTATAAGGAGGTACGACTGGGGCTCTAGGGGTCCGTGATGTTGGGATACCCGAACACTCCATGTCATGGTATATGTACCGATCAGTTGGCCTGGTGGTTGAAAGGGGGTCTGTCTGGGGCGGCAGTCCGACATGGCAGTCCCAAACAGGTCGTGTTTGGGATAGAGCCGACCAACTGCACTGGTCAAACATCATCCAACGTCGCTTCCGACGCGCGATGGCGCCACCCACCCGCTGCCACCCAGTGGCTGTGCGGCGAGGCCTCAGTCACCACCTGCACCGTCCATTGGGCGAGGCGGCGAGGCGCTTCGTGTCCGGTGCGTCCGTTTGGGCAGTGCTGGGCGCTGTTCACCGGCAGGCGCATGCATTGCCCCGTTGTTTGGACAACCGCCCTTCCAACGGACCAGCCACACGGTGCACTGGACAGACAGGTGACCACTAAACACTGAAAACACTGTCCGTGAAAAACGTCTGGTGTCCAACGAGTTTTGGGGGCTCCGAGAACAGAGACGCGTCTCACACTTTCTTTCTTTTCGCAAGCCTGAAAGGAGCCTCTCACTACTTCATTGAACTCAAAAACGCAGCCAAAAGCCAAAGACGCGCAGTCAGACGCGCATGCGTCCTATACGTCTCGCGTCTCAAAAAGCACGACGTCCGCGGCCGCGTCGCGGAACGCTCTGCCTCCTTTGCCTCTTTGGGTCCCAGCTGCAGGGTGACCGGCCGTGCCTAGCGGAGTGGGTGCGTCACGGGTGAGCTGACGCACCCGGCGAAGTACAAGGAGTGGCGCAGGTGGAGCTGACTGAGTTGGCTCGATCGATGGAACATCAAGGTTCACCACACTTGGCACCCGGATTTGAGTGGGGAAACCCCATCCCCCCCAAAAAGGGTAAAGGTTTTCCACTGAAAGGCTGAAGGGATCTAAAGGGTTAAATGTTGAAAGGCCAAAGGTCCCAAATGTTGAAGCATGAAATAGTATTCAAAGAACTGCAACATGCCAGGACATGCCAGGACGCAGGCTACTCTATGTGTTCCATTCATGGTGCAACACGTTGCAATGCCGCTTGAATAGGCTTAATATTCGATCTGGGTTCGATGAACGCAATTTACACACTTAAAAACATGTAAATGCCATCCAGGTTGATCCAAGAGCTTCGACTTTTCAACTTTTCTGGTCCAAACGTTTCAATCTGCTGAGCGTTGGTGGCCGGATGTTGCTCTCAAGAAGTCAAATTTACAGTAGAATCTACTTCGCAATGTGGCCGACAAACACTTCTAGCTTCTTGTTCCTAGTGGTAAGAATGCTACTAGTAGTAAGGCCAGGAGCCCCATTCGTCGTAGCGTCCTTGCTCCTAGTAGTAAGGCCAGGACCTTCCACTCACACACCTGCCTTGAGCTTTTCCTTGATGTCCTGGGCGGGAATGAATTCAAAGGTGGCCCTGACCCAACGTCATTTCCAGCGGGAAAAACATGGATGGAACATCTCACCACTGGCGCAGTGTCCCCAAACACTCCAGACTCCATGCTACTGCTGACATCATCTGGTAGTTTCTCTTCTGGGGCCAGAGATGTAGATCGATTCCAGTCCCACTCATCGTGTCTCTGGTACCATTCGGTACCCACCTCCTTCGGATGTGGCTCGGGACCGGTCGAGAAAACGGATGGTCAGCTGAGCTGCCCCGGTGAGGGAGTCGTCGCCGTTGATGGACATGAGAATGAAGCCTCAAGTCGGATGTCGGATGTCGAGGGGCTGGGTGAGGACAACACCTGAAGAACATCTGCTTTCAGCCAGCTTCCGATGCCGGAACCAACGGAACCACCGCCATCTGCTGCTGAACACATCTCTGCCGATACCGAGTGGCCAGGAGCCACTCCATGCCTCAAACGCGAGACGCGAGACATGGGTTTTTCCAGGTGATTGGAGAGCTACTCCCCTGCTTGAGGACCACATGGAACCCCCAAACTACTGGGTTTGGGCAGGAAAATCCTCTTCCACGGGTCAATTCTCAGGTTCTATGTTAGTTTGTGGGGGAGTACTTCAATGGTGGTCGACCTGGGTGCCTGAAAGGGCGGCGGAAGACTAGGAGCGGACGTGCCGTTTCTGAGATCACCCAAACAGGACGTTTATGGGACTGCCAGTCCGGACTGCCAATCAGGCCAGGGGTGGTGCCAGATATGGCAGTCCCAAACGGGTCGTGTCTGGGTGGTACCGTTTCTGAGACCGAAAAAAAGGTGAGTACACCTGAAACGACTTCAGGACAACGGTTCCTGAGGAGAAGCTGGGCGAGAACCTTCTCCAACATTGAGTGAGGACTGGACCCGATTTTGGCTTGGAAGCTGGAAAACCCTAGGCCTCCAGTCGTACCTTCTGAGAAGGTGGGACTGGGGTGGGTGCCAAACGTCGGGTCCAGTCATACCGAACCTGAGGAGGTACGACGAAGTCGGTGTAGGGAAAGTATGAATCCAGTGGCATGACGCCTGACGCCTTTGGCCTTGTTGGAGGAGACTGTTACCCAGTGGAGGCATTACCAGTCTTGCCAAAAGGTCTAGACGCATGCAATGTCACTGGTCACTGCAGCGAATCGCCAACGAAGAACCTCAGATTCTACCCGAGCGAACTAGACAAACAAAAACCGTTTCAGCCTAACCCGGCGGCCCCAACCGAAGGCCTCAACCCACGGTGCTGCCGCCGTTCATGTGCAACCCCTGCTCCACCCTCGTTGCGTTCACCAAGCGTCTGATCTGCCAGGGAGCCTGGCTGCACTTTCGTCACCTCTCTGCAGGTGCTGTCCTGGTTCCACGCGCCGCCCAGTGAACTACAGTAACAAACCACATGGTTCAAGCCACACAAACCCAGCTCTAGGAGATGTTGCTGGATCTCCACTGGATCCACCAGGCCATGCAGAAGTACCTACAGTACTGGCCAGTTCTTGGGCGAAAACACTCGTCATGCTGCGCTTGTGTGTGGGATGTCTCTTGCACTTTGGTTCCATACAACTCTTGATTCGGAAGCTTTGACATATTTTCATCCCTGTCCCTGTATGTTCCAGACAAGACTCGCCTTGCAGTTGCTTCCATCACGTTTCGTTCCCTTCGTACTTGCACCCTGCGTCCTTCCACACAGCTATAAAAACACTTCGACTGCGTGGGAGAAAAAAAAAGGATCAAAATAAGGCTCTTGCATCGTGCCGCCTACGACTGCCCTTTCACAGCTTACGACTGCCTCCTACTGCGCACCGATCCAGTCACTCAGTCACCCTTCCCTTCGTCGCCCTGCGTAGCCAGGGCACGAAGCCACAGCCGAGCTTGGCGTCCTTGTCAGGCCTTTTTTGGGGGGGCTGTTGTTCAAGCACAATTATTGGTTCTTCACATCAGTTGGACATCTTCGATCTCTCCTTTTGTTATATTATATGTTTTTCCTTTGAAGTCTTTACAAATTGATAGATCTTGAGAAAGTCTCTCCTTGAAACTTCCCAAGAACTATATCCCTTACTACTACTCCTACTTGTCTTCCACTGTTCCAACTCTTCTCCATTCTCTCATCGCTGGCTCCCCGAAACTTCGCCCGGGCCGGGCCGATCCGGATCCGCCCGGTGCCCTCATCGTCGTGTCGTTCCGAGTGGCAAATGGAGCGTTTGCACCGAGGCCATGGGAGCGGACGGGACGGGACGGAGGGATGGTGCCACGTGGAGATTGAGGGAGCAGTTCAAACAGTTCGGGTGCATCCAGCGCGATGAGATGCGATGAGATGTGATATCGATTGAATGATCTCCCCCCCAGAACTAAGAAAGTATTTGCAAAGAAACATCGATATCAATCCATGTCATCCAAAAGCGACAGGTTCTGGAAAAAGCTTTGCTCTGAATGTGGGCCTCTTCGTGGATGTGGCAGTTTTCTCCCGCCCCGGACGGTAGACCTGCTGACCTGCTATTGGGAGAGCCCGTCATCCTCTTGAGCCACACGGATTGCTGAGCCGCACGCCAAGCCAAAGAACGACACGCCTGGAAAACATGCGTACTGCAGCATGCGAAGTTCTACAATCCCCAGATCCGTGAGTGGACTTTGCTCAAAAGTCTCAGTCTTCTTTGGCCGCTTTTGAATTTGCTCACATCCTGCGCGGTATTCTCACCGTTCCATGTTTATACACCGTAAAATGGCTGATACTGATGCCTCCTTGCTTACTCGCATTTTTCAGCATGTGTCTTAAAAAGAACCGACCAGTGGTCAGTTTTGCACCTTAAATCATTTGCATGTGGGTCTCTTTTTGGCATTGGCACGCGGGGAGTAGACCTATGCAACTCAAGTTTGTATACATGCTTAAAAGTCCACCATGGACGTCCAGCACCTGTTCCTTCCGATTCTTTCTCCGCCTTTGAATCGATGCCATTCTCATTTCAGGAGTCTTCCCAAGCCCGCCTCCAAGTCACTGTCGATTCCCCTTTCGCTGGAGCCTCGGGGCTACCCCGGGCGGTTCAATGTCGTTCAAAGGGCAGCCTCCCGCGGTGGTGTTAGGATGGGTAGACAGCAACGGTCTGGTAGAAGATGCATCTTAGCACATCTAAGACCCGAGTCGGCCACTCATTCAGACTCATTCTACAAATGCATAGCCGTTCCGATACCCATCTCACCATTGAACTTTTAGAAAAGGGTGCTCATGGTTGACCACAGCATCACGCATAATTATATCATGATCTTCAACTTCCCCCAAGATAGATGAACAGAATCGAACAGAATTGAAAAAAATTATGATCCCTAGGCCCTAGGCCTCCAGTCATACCTTCTGAGGAGGCACGACTGGAGGTGTAGGGTATATCATGACATCAATATCCGCTGCGGCCGTGCCATGAGACATCCCGTCTGTCCATTCCGAGCGCCGTCCGCCTCGCCGGCAGCTGGGCAGAACGCAGAAGCAGCCTCAGTGCAGGTGACGGTCGCCTTCGACCAACTGGTGGCCTTCTTGAGGACCTGCTGGGCGAGACGGATGTCGAGTCACGGCACAAATGGCAACACAAAGGACAATATCCCAGAATTGGTTTTTAAGGGAACTCTTCAAATGGTTTATCGGTTTCCGGCAGATTTTAGCACTTCAAACAGGTCTGACAAAGAACACAAGCGCTGTACTCGTGCCCTTGTGGTGCCTTATGCCCCTAATCTCCAGGGCCGCGCACACCCCGCGGCCAGCACCGATGCAAAAGCCTAAGCACTCGAAGTGGCACGCCCCTACAACCAGTGGCTGTCCCAGGTAGCCAGGTGACAGGTTCTTGAACCTGGCAAGGGAGATGCCACTGGTCCGGTGACAGCTTCTAGTGGTTTTCGATGGTTTTCTTAATTACTGCTCATGAACTGGTCAGTCTCGCTTGTGGGGCACTGATAACAGCTGATGCGTGTGTGAGCATGTTCACTGTGGAGAGGTTCAAAGTCTGAAGCGCAATTTCTTTCAGAGCATCGAACACTTCAGGTGCAAGTCCCCGACCCAAAAACGCCCACGTTCGTCCCACCCACCAAATCTCCTCTTCCGCTGGCCGAAGGCGTTCGCCTGTGACTGGCGTACCCACCAACCACCACCCCGAAATCATCACCCACCTCCCCCCGCCGTCGCAGTGCATGCAGTGCACTACTCCACCGTCCCGCGCCAGGTGCGTCCTGAGCTTCTGGCAACTCCATCGTTGCCCTTTGCCACCTCGGACGGACGGGAGGCACGGTGACCGCGCGGGTCACGGCGCGGATCACCGCGCGGGTCAACGCGTCACAGGGCGCCCCGGCGGGCTGCAAGCAAACACCGACATACCTGGCGTTGCGACCGCGGGAACGCGATGCGAGCTGATGCTCAGCTCGCAGTCTGGGCGGAGGGAGGGGAGCACCTTTCGAAAGGTCTTTTTTCAAGCGGACGGTCCAACGGATCGATCTGGCCCGTGCTAGTGAGATATATTGATCTATTCCAAGCAAACAACAAACAAAACCATACAACCGCAACCCCTTTGGAATTGTTCATCTTTTCTACAGGCCTCCGGCACCCAAAGACCAACGGTGGGTTTGTTGCTCCGACCCAAACACAATCCAACCAGAAAGGCACCCGAGCTCGTCGCACCCCCACCTCTCACGGTGCATGAGCTCGTCGCGACCTGAGAAGACGAGGAAACAGAACGTGGTCCGGTGGGGAATGGTGGGACAACTCCGCTGGCGAAACAGCTTTTGAGCGCTCTTTCCCCAAGCTTCCAATCCCGAAACTCTCCACTTTGTGGTTGCGGCGCCTCCCCAGAGACCCGCCCACCTCCCCCCGGCCCTTCTTCGGGGTGGAGTCGAGTCGAAAACTTCCTCGAAGCCCAGCCCTCCTCGGGGGCCATGCGTAGCCATGCCGCGGTATCCGCGTCATTGAAGTCTCCCTTGAGACCTGGAGCCACGGCGGTCTGCCGTGGTCGGGCCTGTGGACTGACCGGTGTGTCCACCGTGGGTGCTTGAAAGAAGAGTCGCCAATAACTTCAATCGAACTTCAAGGTGCATAAATTCCCGAAGATTCAATAGCCAAACACTCCATGTATGCCATATATGCCTACATTGACCCCCAAAACCACCCCAATGTAGGTAAATAATGGTAAATATACCATACATGGAGTGTCTGGGATATAGGCCTTCTTACCAGCAGCTATTAGGCAAATGAACGGACTTTGGAGTGAAGCTGCTTCACGCCTTCACGCCAGGGTTTTCTTCCTGCGAGCACGTGTTCTGATGCTTCACGAGTGAGTTGGTGACTGAAACTGAGGTCACTCCAGAGAGTTGGTGAGTTGGTCACTCACCTTGGTTGGTTGGTTGGGGCTGTGCTTTTCCATCACACCAACCAACTCTCTGCGCAGCACGACCACCCCCGCTTGCGAGAGCCGCCGCGTGGGAACCCAAAGCGATCGACCGGATGCGCCGCCGACGCGCGCGCGTCGCGTGGTTTGCTCGGTGCCCCAACAGGACGCGGCCGGAATGTGAAGATCCTGAGCGGATCTGAGCAGCTCTGCTTCTCGTCTCTGTCGTGTTACGTCTCTGCTGGTGTCAAGGCTAGGTCTCTCTCGGATCCGAATCTGAGCCGTCTTTTGGTTGGTGAGGCGAAGGCACATGGAACGCACAACACAAGCAGGGAAGAAGTGATGTACACCGTCAAGGCAATTTGATCTGAGCCACCGGCTACATGGCCCTCAATCTCAGGCCTGAATCTGATGTATTGGCCGGAGTTTGAATGAAGTTCTCAATAGACCTCCGTTATTCGAAGTTCCCCACTAAACATTAATATATCTTGGAAACCGTGCCACTCTCTATGTGAGGACGACGCAGTCATGCCAAAAGTGTGGCGAGTGTGGCCCTCTCCAACTGTCGTGCTGCTCTCCGCGTGCTCTCCGCTTTTCCCGCTCAGGGCACGGCTTCTCGCTGTCAAACCACACACACTTTTGGCAAACCTACCAGGTCGACGGATGGCGTCACTAACTCAAGCTAACCATGTTACTAACTTAGGCCGCCATTTTTGGGTTCCAAGATGTACCGAATTCGATCTTTTCGAACACTCCATCCGCGGATCAGCGGAGATGCATTGTTTGGAGGGAGTTGTGGCCCGCATCCGCTGATACCGCCTGCATCCGCCGCGACCGCAGCTGCTCTCCCATCTGCGTCTTTTTGCAACGGTCGGCCCATCTCCGGTCGCCGCGGAAGTTGTGTGAGACGGTGCCTTCGGCACACCGAACCTGCCGCTGCGGCGGTACCAGACCTTCATGCTATCCCCCAAAACAGTGTTAAAACCACACGGAACGCATGAGACTTGACTATACAAACTCACCCACTTGCAGAAGGCGCGAACTGACCTGGCCCAAGAAGCTTCCCAAACCAAATCCACCTCGGAGCGCCCCCTATTGGAGCTGTGGTGAATCTTCGTTCACCACTCCTGGAGGCGTCGTCACCCTGGAGCTCATCGCATCCACTTCCGTCTCACCTCGGTACGGTCTGCGTGCGGCGTTGGACGCAGACGAGTCCACCAAACCAAAACCGCGGTGGCACAGGGTCAGTCGTAGTCGCCCTGCCCACCATCCGAGTTGGGGGTGGTTGATGGACCCCTTTTTATGTAATCAACACCATGTACACCCACTTGATGGGTGTAATCCAATCGCTATATGTGTTCTATGATTAATCACCACCCTCTTTTAGGGTGGCACAAGAATTGGCGCCGTTCCTTAGTTCAATGGTGTTGAATTTGAATTCCCTAGCCGCTAGCCTGGCTGGTTGGCACATGAGTCCACAACTCAAGCTGTCTCCGTTCGAACATCCTGAGCATTCCCACTCTCCTCTGGCCGTTGCCACTGGGACCGGCCTGAGGTGTTGTGCCAATAGTACCTGACGTGGGGAAATCGGGAAATCAGGATGAAGGCAAACCTGAAAGTTGTTGGGATCGCGGTGTTCGTCTTTACAAGCGCATCAGAAAATAGACGCAGAACGAAGAAGTTGGAGCTCAAACACCTGCCTTTTTCTCCTGGCCTTGAGAAAGCCATGCGCTCTACGATGCCGCGTCTTAAAGCGACGAAGAAAGAAAGAAAGGTCAAAAGGAAAAAAAACACAAGGTCAACAGGTACAGAACAACAAGCTTCCATAATCGACAAGACTAAGCACACTTCCAACTGCATGCGCCAAGTGGCCAAGCGCTTTGGCTTGCATCGAAATGCTTCTCCCAGCCAGGTGGCAGTGGTTCTAGCTGGTCCTGCGACAGCGACAGAACAGCCCATGTGGGGAGCCGACTTGGACGAGTCTCGACCAAGGAGGTACCTGGATCTTCAAAGGGGTGTCCTGTCTGGAGATCCCTATCGGTAGTGGAGGGGCTTCCAGCCAGGTGACCCCTTTTTCAGCAGCTGGCACACTCAATGGAGACTCGAGCCTCCCGACCCCAAAAGTTCCCTGGAGACGGGTGACACACCAAACACCGCACAACCGTGGCGTTCTCCCTGGCCTCGGTCTGCTCCGTGGCCTCTTCAGCCTCCCGAAAAGCATGCGGTCGAAGAGGATAGGGTGAGGGCCAGGGAGTTGGGGGACGTTTGGGGTGAGTCGTTTTCAGGTGCGAACGTGAGCCATGGTGCCAGGGTTTCCAGGGTTGGGGAGGTTTGGTCCAAAGGTCTTCAGCTTTTGGAGCTTGTTGGGGCACTTGTTGCTGTTCGACCACGGCTGAAGTTGGAAGAGGGGTGCTGTGGAATCGGCCCAGTCATCCGTGGCAAGAGACACTTTTGGTATCCTCCAGTTTTTCCAGAACTGCCAACCATGGAATCGGACAATTCTGTGGATTCCAGCTTCGTTAAGAAGTTGCTGAACAAGACCGCAAACTCTCTGACAGCAAACTCTCTGAGTAGAGGGGTGCTCCAGTGTTGGTCAAATTGGTCAAATCAGTTTTTCTGGCTGGGGCTTCCGGAGGGTTTGCCCGATTGAGACGAAACGAGTGACATGGCAACAGCAACTGCAGTTACCTCATGGGGTGAAAAAGGCAAAAAGTTGGTACCAAGCTGTCTGCCCCCTCAGAAGTCGTTCATTGACACTGTTCTTGATCATGTAACTGTAAGACGAGTACCGTAAGAGCTTCCGTATTTCGAGCTGGCTGGTGGCAAATCAGTTGGAACCAAGGCTTGGTGGTTGAAGATGTGGGGCACATGTAGCTGGTCCAATCAGTTGGAACATGTTTCGCCTTCGGAGCCTTTGAAAGACCGATCGTCGGGTCGCCGAAGAAACTGACTCGCACCTCTCGCTTCTCCGAACCCAACCTCGGAGGGAACATCTCTGCTTTCGAAGGTCTCTCTATGTTCACATATGATTTCAATTGCCATTTAGGCCGTTTAGACGTTGCAAGGACTTTTCCCTTGCCTCTTTCTTGTCGCCTTTCTTGTCTACGTCAACGAAGCTATCATTGTATCAGCATGGTCCAAAGGAGGAATGGGCTTTCCACGCGGAGGTAGATTCTCCAAAATGCAAAATGGAATCTCTTGAGCATGGTTTCCGAACCATCTTTGTTTCATACATGGTCCTTGCACGATCGTTTCCACCGAGAATGGCAAAATGCACACCGCCCCGTCTGGGCTTTGAGCATGAAGTCTTCGTTCAGAAGCTCAGAAGCACTTAAGCGCTTTCCTGTGAACGGCGCGAAGGTCATGAGTTGCAACAAACGAAAGAGCACTCTCCCACCACGGCGAACCAGGAAGAAGTGAATCTGAACGGGGCCGTGGTCGAAATGCAAATGGGAAGCATCCTATGACAAAATTGCGATCTCGGCTCGCCCCCTTCTTTCATTTTTGGACATACAGTAGTGGTGCATTCAATGGCCTAAGATGCGCAAGGTCATCCAGCACCATGTCACAAAATATGCAAAGCTGTTATTGGGCTTGCTTTGCAACAAACCCGCGCAGTGTTACCATGTTTCTGAGTTCCCTTATTGATCAACATCCCTGGTTACAAAAGCAAGAACATAAAGCAAAAGCTTGATCCAATTGAGTCTGTGAACCGCGCCACCTGTTTTGCAGTCAGGCGTGTTCCATCTTCCCTGACTCAGCTCGTTTGAAAACGCCTGGGTCCAGCTGCGTACAGCGCCGGATGAAGTTCTTGCACTTGGGAGAGACCGTGTCCTTGGAAATGATTCTCCGCATTACGAATCAGGAACATCCGCAAGTCCGCAACTAACTCTAAGGAAGAAGAGTCTCCAAAATGACATGCAAAAAAGTGGAGGAAAGGGAAAGACACGCGTTCCATTCATTCCTTCCTCCATGTCTTTTCCAATAATATACAACAAGCCACAGGAAAAGAAAGGAACCTCCCGCTGGCTTTCGCAATCCTCCGAGTTATCTTCAGATGTGCGTCTTCTTTAGGACTTCTAGCCACATGGCGCACGGCCACGGCCCTCTGAGCGGCCCAACCGGGATGGGAGGCAATTCGCCAGACATGCCAATCTTCAGAATCCTCAGCGCGTGACTCGTGTTGCTCAACAAGATGGGTGAACCAGCCTCGCTTCTGGGTGAACTGGGTGAACTAAGTCGCTGAGTCAAAATGTGGTTTATCGAGCTGCACAGCAGCGAGGTGTCTGCAAAGCCAAAGTGACAAACTATACTTCTTTATAGGGGAAAAGTGTGAGTTGAATGGATTTGATCTGGCCTGACTTGCAAAATGTGAAAGCGCGGAATATATCATATCATCATATCAACTCTAAATTCTAAATCATGTCAACAATGCCCTCCCCCCGAGGACTCTGGCGCTGCCATCAGGTTGTCGAAGTGCCCCCAAGGGGCATCTGCAGTCGCCATCCTGGGAGAAACTGAGCTTTTGGGAGGAGGAACTCGGGCGTTGGGTCGGTGGGTGAGGGTTGGTGGGAATGCCGGTAACGACGTTGGGGACGGGGTCCGCATCTGGTCGTTCGCCTACAGGGCCCCGCTGAAGGCGTTTGGTTCCGGCTTAGGGATGGGAACTTTTGGATCCTCGAGGCATCGGATCTCGTTCCGGAAGACAGGCATGGCGGACTGGTGGACCAAGCTGGCCAAGCGAATCCATGGTGGCCAAGCTGGCAGGGTTGGCGAAGCAGAACAGTCTAGGCCTAAAGGTCTCGGTCTCGGTCCGTTTTAGTGCGGATGTGTAGTTCTCCAATCTCTTCATCTCCAGCCTTCCGTCCAAGACTTTAGTATTAGACTGGTTTTATGCAAAACCCTTCGTCAAACAATGAATGTTCGGTAAAGGCTATTTAGAAAATAGTGCTTGATGGTGGTTGGAGTTGCAGGGATTCCTCATGATTCCCCACAGCCAAGTCAGTGGCTCAACTGACTGTCCAGTGGCTCAACCTCGCCGACTTGCGGCCTGGCCAAGCCTACCTCTTGCCAGGACACTCAATGACCAAGCACCCAAAGCTCCAAATGTCACCTGCCGAAACGCCATCCACCCAGTCTCGGATTCGGGCTTCCGTAAGGCATCGTGGGGACTGGGGCAACTACAGCGTGTGCCAGGTTAGCAGTGCGCTAGCAGCTTTTGCGCAGCACGCAGCACGCAGCCGCAGCAACAGCAGCAGCAAACGGTGCCTGTGCCTTTGACCAGTGCTTTGGCACAGCGGCCGCTTGATGCAGTGACTGCACAGTTGTTGCCCGTCCCGTGCGTTTTGGCCTGTCCGTTCTGTCCCAACCCCAGCCACCCCAGCGGCCTGCCCGTCCAAAGCGTGAGTGAGTCAGCACCTGCGACAGCACAAAACGTATCAACGAACAAACAAAGAAAACAAACGGCTATCCCACCTCACAGGTTCTCAAATCGAAGAGGAAGGCACAAACAGGAAAGGGAGCAACGCGGACGTCCCGAGCTCTCTCTTGCTGCCTCTAGGAGTAGTGGCGAGGTGGTTTTCAAGAAAGTAACAACAACACCTCGCGCAAACAGCAAACACCAACTCACAAGTCCGGCAGGTCTTGAGCCCATGCCTCAAATTAAATGGTGCTATTCAAGCCGAGTGGAGTTCGGAGCGATGTTCATCCCTCCAACCCCACCTTTGGAAAAATCCTAACCCCCATCTGGGTGAGACCAATCTTCTTGGCATGAGGTTAACAAGAAGCTATTAGTAACTAGTAACAAGTGCCACACTAGTAGTAACAAGTGCCTTACTAGTAGTAACAAGAAGCTATTAGAAGCTACGAGAATAACTCAAGGTTCACCCCCGAGGGGGCTGATTCCGGCCTCCGGAGCCATCCATGGGATAGAACCCTCGATGGTCACCGCCATGGTCTCCTCCGTCGACGACGGGTTTTGCTTCATGTTTTAGCCAAACAAAGTGACCCAAAAGCACATTTGAAGCCAAAGTCAATCGCCAAATGCATTTTTTGATATTACACCATTGAAGAACACTCAGTGAGTCTATTTTTTTTGTTCCACTCTTTCACTCCATGTGTGGAATACGTGCCTACAATTGACCTCCTAAAAGATTTGGCTTTTGGTTTCTCCAAAGGCCTCTCGACCGCGCTGATTTCAGATGGCGCATGGCACTGTGACCCACAGATGTCTTAGACACATGGGGGTTCCATATCAAACCACCACCAAACTTGGGGGAGATTGCGCCCTCTTTCAGCGCCATCTGAAACCACTATAGCTCTACATGTCCCAAGGTGACTCGAAGTATTTGTCTCCCTCTCCTTGGCTCGTTTGGAACATCCAAAATCCGCCAACTTCACCAGGCTGTCCACGCCCACGAGGACGTTGGCACCCTGACGCACCACGCTGGGACGAATGGGGTGTGGGACGAGGGCCCACAACAAAAAGCGCTACACGGCGAAAACCGAGCCAATGGGGGAGTGTAGAAGTACCTTCAGCCTATTCTATTTCTTTCTTGTTCATCCTTTTAAGTGGATTCAGTCTATTCATTTCATGTTTCATCGTTTTAAGGTGGATTGCCCCGAGATCTGGGTCAATTCCGTCTTCTCTTCTCAACCTCTGTCCTACCTCGCGTCCCTCCTGTCCCTCCCCTCGCCATCATCCGAGCGAAGCGAAATTCCACTAATAGCTTCTTTGTTACTACTAGTAAGGCACCTGTTACTACTAGCGTGGCACTTGTTACTACTCTTTCCACCTTGATGTCTCGGTGCAAGATGTAGGGATTCTGTGAATGCAAATACTCCAGGCCTCGACGGACCGAGACGGACGAAGGAAACGAGTCGTTGGCTGGCCGCGGAACTGAACGTGACCGTGGGTCCGTGGGTTGGTTGAACCACTTGAGGCTGAAAGTGGAGGGGTGTGGTCTGTGGTCTGGTATAGTTTCCACTCCCAAGGGAAACCTCAAGTGTCTGGTTTTCTAGAAAAACAGCCCTGTGAGGCGATCCATCAAGCTCACCATCCATCAGGATCCACTGCAAGGACGCTCACTGGGGTTTCAAAAAAGAAGCATAATCCGCATAATCACAACAATCCCTGCAAAGAACAGTCTTGAGGGGAGGGAATTCCTAATAAGGAAAGTATCGTCCTTGGACTTCTAGGGTAAACACCATTATGGAACATCCTGTATACTGTATATGGTCCTTTCTGACCCAGGTCCAGCCACCTGGTCCTGAAAAGCTCAGGTGAGTACTGGCCAGGGCCAAACGTCACAGGGCCCCGCACCGCAGAGCAGTTGCTGCCTCGGAGGCGAAGCGACCGGGGCTTCGAAGCGGAGGATTGGTTGGAAGACGTCGCGTTGGAACGCCGTTCCTCAAGAGCTTGCCAGTTCCTTGCCAAATAGGGCTGAAGACAGCGGCTCTTCCGAATGCCAGCTTCCTTTGCTCACTGGATGCCATGCAGCCCATGGCTGCGCTGTCTTCAAAATGATACTGCAATCCATCTCACCCATCGATTCGACCCAACTCTTCAGCCATTCTCGACTCGAGGGGTCTGGCACGTCGTCCATCTCTCGTTGGTGGAACGTCTCGGTCGGCCGGAGGCATGGCTCCTCGCTGGCGATTCCCTTTTCCAAACAGGTCCCAAGCGCTCCATGTAATGCGCCCATAGGATTAAGTAACCACCCCCTATTAATCAATCCCAGCTCGACCCCCCCCACTATTTATTTATAGTTCTTTTATATTACATTCTTTTAGCTAGTCTCCAGTATCTTTTATATGTTCTTATTTATTTGTTTATTTTCTTTTTTGCTAGTATTCAATATCTTCATCTCCTCATCTTCCTGATTCTCACCACCACCTCTCAACTGCCTCATCCTGCTCACCAATCCTTTTGATGGCTTCTCCTCAGGTCTCATGCTACCAACCATCCCCCAAAACCCCAAAAACTCTCTAGCAAAAGTCTGTTATTTTCCCTTATTAGACTCTATCAAAATCTTACGTAACTTTTTCAAGCTCACAAAGGGTACCCCTCACAAAGGCCCCACCCCCCCAATAGTAGGACCACCTCCCCCTTTGATCAATCCCAGCTGCCCCAGAAAAAATATAGTATACTTTGTATTTGTAAGTCTTTATTGTTTTCTTTTTTGCTAGAATTCAATATCTTCATCTCCTCATCTTCCTGATTCTCACCACCCATTCCATCTTCCTCATCAGTTCACATCCTATCCCATAAGCTCCCTTGGAAAAACAACCCATGGATCAATCTAACATGAACACTCATTCCAAATACTAATTCCCTTTCATCTCAATTCTTCCAAATACTCATT